CAGTGCACTATGTTTGGAAAAGGACATCGTGTTTGGTACAATAGAGGGGAGATGAAAAGGAGGTGGCCCTTGAGATAGGTCAGCACAGTGGCTGCGTCAGTGAGCTCGGATATAGGGACACTGGTGAGGATGGCACAGGACTGGGCAGTGTTTCATTCTGGTGGGCATAGGGTCACCATGGGCTGGAGCCAACGTGATGACACCTAAAAACAACAGCATAGAGACAGTAATTGGATAGATAATTGTCCATGGGGCATGGCAAGGCAGGATGGAGGGGATCCAACAATGAGTAGGGGAATCAAATTTTTTGAAATGGATGGTGGCGGTGATTGTACAAATCTTCTTCAGATGATCGGACAATTACATTGTATGATACGTGACACAGATGCCGATAAAACTATTTGAAAAAAAAAAAAGGAGAAGAGGCTGCAGGCATGCTTTCCCATGGCAGAGCTGTGTGGGGCAGCGCTATCCTGCCCTTTCAGGGGAAGTCAAGGTTGGCAGTCCCAAACCCAGCTTGGTGTCCCCCACGCTGGCGGTGTGTCCTGACCCTGCTCATGAGGTGCCCCAGACCTGGGGCAGCCACGCAGACGAGAGTCTCCTGCAGGAGTGGGTCCAACATGCAGCGGAGACCAGAGGGCGAAGCAGTTGGTGGCAGGAAGGCTTCGCAGAGAAGGCCTCCTTGTTGCTGGGCTTTGGGGGCTGAGAGTCCCCTAAGTGGCGATGACGGTGTGTCTTGGCAGAGGCAGCAGCCTGGGCATCAGCTTAGCAGTTCCACCTCTTCCTGAACAGCTCACTTTCCCAGAGTCCCTTGCCATCTGGCTTTGGCCTAGAGCCTGCCCGTGGGAGAACGGGGAGGCAGGAAGATAGGGGATGCTGGCCTGCTTCTGGCTCCAGCCACAGCAGACTGGTGCAGGCTTTGCAGATTCCAGCAGCGCCTGGGGCTCCAGCTTCTAGGTGGTAAGCGAGCTCCTGGGCTCCCAGGGGCACCAGCTGCTGGGGCAAGGTGTCTGGGTAACACCCCCCCTCCTCCACAAAGGAACGAAGGCCCTTCCTCAGCGAAAGGGCTGAGTGCTTCCTGCTCTTCAGCGGATCACCAGTGGATTCAATTCTGGCGGCCCAGGGCCAAAAACCTGCATGTCATGTTCAGGGGAACAGACAGAGGCAGCCAGCAGCCAAGGGGATGTCGTGCTTTTATTGTGATTTATAGTCTGTGTGCGTCTCATGTCTGTCACCACGAGTTCCCTGAGGGCAGGGGCCGTCCTCTATCATCTTTTCGCTCAACAATCATCAGGGCCTAGGTGATGGGAAGTGAGATGAAGCCCCCACTCCCACCCCACCCCCGCACTGGGGGAGCTGCGGTCCAGGCTGGTCGCCTCCAGCCAGCTGTGTCGACAGAACACTTAAACGGCAGCCAGTCCACACCGAGCTGCCCTCTCTGTGCAAAGTGTGCACTGGACTTCAAAAGCTCAGCCTGAAAACCAGAGGACAAAATAGCTGCAACAATGTTGATACCGATCACAGGTGGAAACAATGGTGTTCTAGATACACAGGGTTGAATGAAGGAGCCTCGGCGGTGCTGTTGGGTAAGCACTGGGCTGCTAATCACAAAGTCTGCGGTTCAAAGCCCCCAGCTGCCCCTCGGGAGAAAGATGAGGCTGTCTGCTCCCATAAAGAAGTACCGCCTCGGAAACCCAACCCAGGGTCACGATGAGTCAGACTCGACTGGATGGCCTCGGATGGGAGGGTGCTACGCACCTGTTGGAATAAATTTCACCTGTGGCTTTTGGACTGGCCACTGAACCACCTGCTGCCAGGGATGCTACTCCGACTCACCGAGACCCTGTGTTTCTGAGACGGTGCATCTTCCAGGAGCAGCCAGCCTCATCTTTCGCCTGGAGAGCGGCTGCTGGTGTGTGAATCGCCAATCTTGCAGCTAGTAGCCCGACTTGACCCACAGCGCCACCTGGGGAATCTTAAACTGCAGGTGACACCAGTGCTGCTTCTATTGGACCGGGCTGGTCTTGGTGCAACACTCTACGTAGCAACTCGGTCACGAATCACGCAGAGAAGACCCAACCCCGCCTCTATCGATGCGCAGCGACCTGGCAGGACAGAGAACTGCTCCTGACTTAGCGCTTGTGAGGCTCCACCTTCTCCCTCGGAGGGGCTGGAGGGCACCCATATCAGAGGCACCAGTCTCTGGATGGCACAAGCTCAGCCTCCGTGAAGTGCTCAGCGACTAATCCAAAGGTTGGCACTTCAAGTCCATCCAGAGGCACCTCAGACGGCCTGTCGGTCTATTTCCGAAGGCCACGGTCATCAGATGCCCTGTGGAGCGCAGTGTTCTGTGACACACACGGGGGCTCCAGGAGTCCAAATCGGCTGGACCATAACTGGTGCCATCTAAAAGATACTGGGCTCTTGTCCTGGGGGACTTCTGGTAGGAAGAAGAGGGAGCCAGCTATGCCAACAGGGGCTTACAATTCACTGCGCTACATGGTACCCATACCAGGGGATCTGGGGGCTTCGTGAAGAGCTTGGGGGATGCTTCGAAGAAGAGGTGGCTTTGTAGGTGTGGCTTTGTAGAAGGTGCTGAGCTTTGTAGGATGCGTAGCTATTGGCGAGGCAGAGAAGGGAGAGGAAGGGCTCGCCAGCCTCAGGAGCTGCGTGTGCCTGCATGTGCGAAGGCTGAGGCTCACAGGCTGTAGCAGCAACATGCTTTGTTTGGGGGAAGATCCCAGAGGTCCGACAGCAGGGGGCCTTGAATGCCAGGACTGACACCCCAGGGAGGGGCTGGGGCTCAGGGAAGGCTCTGCAGCAGGATGTAGCTGGTCCCCAGGGGACGCCCTTCTCCATCCACCCTCCTCAGACGCTCCCAAAGGACCAGGGTGGGCCTTGTGTGAATGTGAAAAATAAACTCTTTTATTTCAGGGTTGGCTCCTGTGGTTCAAAGCACATCTACTGCCTGCTTGAAACCCCAAAGCGTGTACCCAACCGTAGAGAAGCAGATCGCTATTTATACAGAACATCTGCACGCAGGCTCACTTTGTTGGCCCCGGCGCTGTGCGAAGCTGTAAAGTGCTGGCTGTGTCAGCAGGGCTTTCCCCAGCACCCTCCCTGGAGGCTGTGGCCCCTTCCCTCCCAGTATGGCTCACTCCAGAGGGCCCTGCACCGTGGGCACGTGGGGTCTGGGGCTCAAGAGGGGGTAGAATTTGCTCAGAGCTTGGGATCAAGCTTGGGGTCTAGTGGGGGGCTTTCAGCAGGCTGAAGGGGGTTAGCTCAGGAGGCCCTTAAGCGGGGCCAATGATGACGTTCCGGTAGCCCTTCACCGCCTTGAGCTTGTCACTCTCAAAGTCCACCACCAGCTTGTGAAGGCCCACGTGGAGTGGCATCAGGTCCACTCGAACCTTGACTTCTTCCCCAGCCTCCACAGGGTCCGGGCTGTGGAGAGAGATGGTGGGGGTGGTGAGGAGAGGGGCCAGGCCTGCTTCGCCCCACCTTGGGCCCTCCGACAAACAGCTGATGACTGGCAACAAGGAAACAGGTCCCTTCACCGCGTTGGGGGCCTGGACACTCTGTCCTGCTCCTGTCCATGCCCACGTGTGCACTGGGGACACGACGCCTCTGTGGGTCAGAGGGGGACTGCCAGATGGCCACAGCTGGACATGGTAACGACTGGGCACACACACTTCATCAGAAGCTGTAGTGTCCGCCCCAGAAACCATTTTTGTCACATTATTTTTTTTTTAGGATATCAACTGAACTTGACTGTTTCAACCTCAGTTACAAGAAAAGGCTTTGTTAGGCCAATTTAATACTGTTTTTCAGGTCTGTTAATTTTGGCTTTCAGTTTCAATTTATTTTATATTTCAGACTTAATATTATTTCAGACTGGCTTCCTTTGATTTAGGTCAGTGGTTCTCCGCCTGTGGGTCATGACCCTTTGGGGGTCGAACAAACAGCCCTTTCACAGGGGTTGCCTGATTCATAACAGTATCAAAATGACAGTGATGAAGTAACAAAGAAAATAATGTTATAGTTGTGGGGGGGGGGGCGGTCACCACAACATGTGGAACTGTGTTAAAGGGTCGCGGCATGAAGAAGGTTGAGAATCACTGATTTGGATGAACTTTCCCAATTGTCATCCAGTTACTGAAAATGCCTACCTCTCTTTTTTTTAATTAGCTGTGACTTAATACATATATATACCAAATTTCAATTACGTCAAGTAGAATATACAATTGCTACCTCAATCTGCTTCCAAACTTTGTTTTTCTACATGGACTTCTTGACATCGTCTCCCTTTTAGTCCACAATTTGAAAAGTAAAATGTATAAGTGCTGATGCTGGGGTGGGTGGGTGTATGCATGTGAATACGCAGGTGAGGAAACGTCCACATAGGCACGTGTGTGCACATAGGCCTGTAGACATTTGGGGTGCGATGCTCAGGTTACATGAGGACTTGGGGAGCCCTGATGGTGTAGTGGGTTACATCTTGGGCTGCTAACCTCAAGGCAGCAGTTTTAAACCACCAACTGCTCCTTGGGAGAAAGAGGAGGCTTTCTACTCCATAAAGAGTGGCCGTCTTGGAAAAACACAGGGGCAGTTCTACCCTGTCCTACAGGGTCACAGGCTTCAGAACAGACTCCAGGGCAGTGAGTTTGTTGGTCTGGGGTGGGGGTGGGGGGTGGGGAAGCATGTGTTCTGGTGCTGAACTGGATGCCGAGCAGGGGTGTGAGGGTTGGGACTGGGCAACTTGGGTGACTGAGTAGACATTGGGAGAGATTAGCAGGTGCGAGGGGGTGTCTTTGGGGGATGGCATGGAGATATTTAGGGGCCAGGGGAGGATACCCCACCCCATCAGCACCCACCCTCCACTTCGGCCAGCACTTACATCTTCACGGTCTTCTGCTCCTGGATCAGCCCAGCCCCTTCCACGGTGAAGCAGCAGCCTGACAGGGGCACCGTGAGCGGGTTCTTCAGGGATACCTGGGCCACCAACTTGCGCCTCTGCTTGGGCTCACCGAGGACCTGGGCAAGAGGTGAAGCAGCCTCAGGTCAGGCAGCACGGAGCAGGCCACGCCCAGAGCCCCTCAGGCCACAGGGCCCACTGGCTGGGCCATCTCAGCATTTGCTGCAGTTTGGTTCAGTGTTTGCTAGATGGGCCATGCCCTGCGCTGCCACCAGCACTTCATACCTCCGTGCCTCAGTTTTCCTCATCTGGAAAGCATGGATGAGCATTCCCTTTCTGGGGTACCCTGTGACTCGGGTGGGGGTGGGGGTGGGAAACAAAGTGTCTGCTTGTTCTAGGGTCTGCAGTGGGAAGATCACAGGTGGAGGGCTGGGCTGGCCCCTGCTCCTTCCTCCCTGTGTGACCCTGGGGAAGTGGCTACCGGCACCACGGATCACTTTGATATGGCCTTTCAGACATGGTCTTGTAACTTCTGCCAAAGGCCTGGGTGGGGCCTGGATAGTTTGTTAAAAATGAATGATCTTAATAAGGTGCATGGCACCCTTGTAGGGGTGAGATCATGCAAATAAGGTGTATGGAACGCTAATGAGGGAATCGGTTAAATTTGATCTTTGCAAGGCTTAGGAGGGAGCCAATCTCAGAGCAGGGGGTGGGGTGGGTAGGGGGGACCTCACCATCAGAGAGAGAGAGAGAGAGAGAGAGAGAGAGAGCTGATAACAGAGGAGACAGCAAGAATCAGGGACAGAGAAAGGGTGGCAACAGAGACAAGCAGGACCAGGAGACCAGCGGAGACAGAGTAGAGGGGGCTCCATGGCCCCCGGAGCCAAAAAACTGAGGGCGTTGGGACTGAGGCTTACTGGCAGAGTGGGGGCCTCGGGGAGCTAAAGGGCTTTGTAACAGCAGCCAGAGCACGGCTGGCAGAGGAGGCTGGGCAGCTCTGTGAGTTCTGTGTGGTCCTTGCCATGCACTGCTGAGGCCAGCGGAGCAGCGCAGAGCAGAGCGCAGAGGGAGGGACGCTGCCGTCACAATTGGTAGATGTGTTGTGGAGAAGAGGTCGGCCGGAACCTCCACCTGGCAGCAATCCGCGGTGGGCTGCTGATCTTGCATGGGCCACCCTGTTTTCTTATGGGAGAGAAATGCCTGAGCTCGGGCTTCATGAGGATTAGCTGAGCGCAGGTGCAGGCCCCCTCCCCGCGGAGATGCCACCAGTGCTCACGGCCCAGGCCCCGGCGGTGGACCATTTATTTGCAATGTTGCACGTGGGGTTCTGGGGCTGAGGGGCGTTGACTGAACTGCTGTGATGATAATGATGGTGACAGTAGTCCATTGTTATTAAGCTCTTATAATATGCCCGTAACCCTCATACAGACGGGCCTAGTAGTAACCCCATCTTACCATCGAATAAACCGAGGCACAGGAAGGTGGAGTATGGAACTCAAGGCCATTCAGGCACACACTAAGCAGTCTGATTCCTGACCCTGAAGCCTTAACCCCTGCTTTCCCACCCCCCCACCCCACATGGGCCACTAGAGCCCGGCGGTCCCAGCTTTAGGAGTTTAGCATTTTAAGGGACCTTGGGGCAATGTTCTTTCACCTGCCCAAGGAGGCACCATCTTGAGATTCTAGAGCTCACCCTAATTCTTTGCCTTCACAATGCTTTCCTTTGATGAGGCTGCGATTTTGGGATCGGAGACTCCAAAGGTCTGGGAGTTACAGGTGCATGAGTTTGTGGGCCGCTCTCCGGGGTCCCAGCCTGCCCCTTACCCGGATCTTGATTTCTGGATTCTCCAGGTAGATGTCTCTTTCAGCCAGCAGGTAGCTGTTGAGGGCGGGCTGGATAAGGAGGCCCCGCACCTTGATGAGGTTGGACTCAGTCAGGTAGTCGCAGTACTTCTCGTAGAGGATGCGAAGGGGGACGCTCTTCTCTGCAGAGGGAGAAGGGGGGCATGTGATGGCAGAGCTACACCCCCATAGGTCCCTCCAGCACTGGGAGCAGTTGGGGAGGGAAGATGGGGCAGGACCAGAATCCAGCGGGGGAGCACTTGAGCTCTGAGAGGCCCAGGTTCTAACCCTGCCTCCGTCTCTTGCTAGCTGGTGCCCTGGGCAAGTCTCTGACCCTCAGCTGCCTCGCCTGTGCCCAGGGTGAGGGCCAGAGGCGCATGAGCTGAGGGGGCGGTGGGAAAGTGCTAGGTACATATTCCCCACCTCAAAGTCCTCTTCTTAAAAATCCCACAGATTGGATGTTTATTAGTGCCCAGCTCACAGATAAGCACATTGAAGTGGAGCAGTGAGGGAACCTTGTCCCGGCCAGGCAGCTGGTAGACCCAGAGTGAACTGCACAAGTGATACGCCCCAGCACCCCATTCAGGGCTGGGCACTCCCTGGCCCCAGGATTTTACTGATGAAGAAACGTGCCTGCCTGCATGCACACAGCTTGGAGACCTGGCCTCTGCTCCCCACTCGGCCACCTGCTGGGCTGTGATGACCTGCCCTCTCTGTTCCCTGAGATATCCAGTGCCTGCCGGGCAGAACAAAGCCGGGAGCATAAGCTGCTCAGTGATGAGACAAGAAAGAAGCCAGGAGGAAGTGGCGTGTGTGTGTGTGTGTGTGTGTGTGTGTGTGTGTGTGTGTGAATCCCACTTTTCTGACAAGAATACTGAAGCCCCAGGTACCATGGACCTGCTCGGGCTCATAAGCAGTAGTCAGGAGAGGTGAAAAGAACACTGGGTGGAATGTCCAGAGGCCCAAGATCAGATCTTGCTTGTCCACTCACAGTGAACCTGGGGCCAGTCATCCCAAGAGGGTGGGGTCAGCACTGGCACAGGACACGATGCTGCCTCGTTTTTTGTCTCCAGTCCCCCCATCCCCAGGAGACCAGAGTGTTCCAAACTCCAGCCATGCACATTTCAGAATCCTGTCTAAATCCTCGGCAAGTGTTCATCATTTATCTTTAAATTGGGCCCATGCTTTTTTTGAAATTACTGGTTCCTTAGGAAACCTTTCACTGTTAGTTGCAGTGCACCCCCAGGCCCAAACTCAGGGCCATTGAGTTGATGCTGACTCGTGATGAGCCTACAGGACAGGGTAGAACTGCCCCTGGGTTTCCAAGATGGCAATTCTTTATGGGAGCAAAAAACCTCATCGTTCCCCCATCGATTGATTGGTTGGTTTCAAACTACTGACCTTGTGGTTAGCAGCCCAACATGTCACCCCTCCCCCCACCTGCCAGGGCTCCTTACAGCAGCACATCACTCTCCTTGATTCCAAGTGGAAGGTAGTGGTCATTGTGGGGTGCCAGCACGTCCACGTTTGATTCAGAGCGACCCCGTTGGATGGAGGAGAACCTCTGCATGGAGCTGCTAACCACAAGGTCAGCGGTTCGAGCCCACCAGAAAGAGGGGCCTTTACTCAGAGTGAAGACAGCTTTACTCTGTCTGATAGGGTCACTATGAGTCAGAATGGACTCGATCGCAGCCGGTTGAATCTTTATAGGAGTGGGAGAATACAAGCAAACCGTTGCGCTAGTCACTTCTGGCTGGATACTGATGTCTGCCGAGGGCTCGCCCGGAATGTGGTGTTAAGTGGGAGATTAGCCTCGGGTCAGGGATGTTAAAGACCAGGTAGCACCTGCTGAGCCTTCCTCCTGAGGTCCCCTGATCACCGTGTGATTCAAGGGTTAGGACCCAACTGTGCACACGCGTCCTGGAGCTCTGGGCGATGCTGCCCTGACCCACCCAGCCCGAGTCTTTCCAGGGTGGATCTGAGGGCGTGGGGAGAAGAAATCAAGAGGCCTGCCAAAGCAAAGAGGGGACCAGCTGAGGGGTCAAGGGACCCAGGGTGCAGAGTGGAACGTCTGGGCAGCTCCCCAGGACAGAAAGCCAACAATGTCCTCCAAGAGCTTTGAGGATGTGACTGCCCCCACCCCCTGCTGACTTTTCCAGGAGGTTGAGGTCAGGGCGGGCGGGGCCTTCGAGAGCCACTATCCCCAGGCCTGGACCAGGCGCTGGTTGGAAAAGCCATTGAGTGCAGTGTGTCCCAAACATTCCTCAGTTTGCCCTGTTCTGGAAGATTCCCCGGGGGAATGGTCATGCGGCTTGGAGTCCTGTGAGCCACCTGGGGAGGCAGGGAGGGCAGAGACAGGAAAAGGGAGAGCAGCTGAGCCAAGCGGCAGGGGTGGGGGTCACTGGGTCCTGTTCTGCTCTCCTGGGCCTGGCTTCCTGTCCACAGGCACATGGAACTCTCCAGCCCTTATCAACAAAGAATAACAAGCCACTCAGCCAAGCCGTGACCGGGCCTGTCTCAGCTTGAGCTTCACATGGGAGGTCCCAAAGGAGCATCTGGGCTCGGGCCAGTTCCACCTTCCAGCTGGTGGGGAACACACACAGCCTCTGCATTCTCCCTGCACCCCAAGTCTGGGCCCCTTGTGGGAGTCCAGCAGGAGGAAGGACCCATGCCGTGTGGACACGTCCCAGGGTGATAAGAAAAACTGCTTGACTGAAGCCCTCTTGGGCTCTTGTCCCAGGCGGGCCAGTGGTAACTGGGAGATCAAGAGTGATTCGATGGAGACCTGGCCCAGACCTGGAGGTCACCTCTGTCCCCTCACCTTCCAGGAAAGAGGCTACGTCCCCATTGGAGCGGCTCTGAGCACCAGAAGGCGCGGATCAGCATTTAGACAAATGGGTGGTGAGCACCCTTAAAGATGGAGCCACCGGTGCACAAGTGGGGGCCCGAGGCCTGGTGGGAGAAGAGAAACAGGGGGAGTCCAGGCCTGGCTGACTCTCAGGACCTGGAGGGTGACTTTCCTGACTACCCCACACATCTCAGATCAGTAGGTACACACAGCCCTTGTCCTGGCTCTTCAAAGCACAGGGTCCTAGCCTTGCAGGTGCTTGGGAGAGGCCCCAGGGGCTCCTTGGCCTCCTGCCCTGCTGGGTGCTCTGCTCCAAGAGGGATGGAGAGCTGGGTTTGTCGTGAGGTCGCCACGCTGGGTGCAGAAGCCTTCCTGAGCATTTCAGCCTCCTAGCCATTGCCACACCCACGGCCCCAGGTTCCAAGCCCCGTATGGGGTGGCTTTAAAATCTGTCCCTGGTGCCAAGGGCTCTGCCCATGGAGGGCTCAGCCCGGCTCAGGGCTCTGACTGGCACCCATGGAGGGTCGCCTTGGGGCAGGCTGGCACCCCAGGAGTGCCCAGGCAGACCTCAGAGATGGCCCCTGCCTGCTGCAGGTGCTTTCTTAGGAAGGCAACGTCACAGGCTGTGCCTGGTCACCTGGGGGCTGAGGCGGAAGAAAGACGGCTGCTGTTAGAGGAACCAGGTGAAGGAGTGGGGGAGGCAGGCAGACTCCTAAAACAGGGATCAGCATCTCCCTGCCCTGGGCCCCGCCCCATCCTGAGGGATGATCTGAGGGG